CTTGGTAGATCCTGAACTGTGCCTTGGGTCATTGTCCTGCTGAAACATCCAACCCTGTTGTAACGTCAGCCTCTTGACTGATCCTGAAATCCATGCGACCTTCAACTCTGACACTCCACCATATTTTACAGGACCATTTTGGGGAGCAGGTTCTTCTACTGGAATGCTGTTTTCTTATACTGTCTTGCATAGTGCCTATGGTTGTTGCATCTGTCCAAGGTATATTTTTCCAAAATGATTCAAATCACAAATCAAATAACAAATCACTTTTATTGTTTCATCATCAGCAGGACGTGTACTATGATGAGTAAAAAGCTTAGATGCTGGCTCCAGACAGTACAAAATACAGACAGTGCAAAATACAGACACTGCATTGTGCAAAAACAGGACAATGTAAAATTGACAGCGATATGTACAGTGAATAGGTGTCCAAATAGTTGTAAGCAGTATTGTTTCAAGTATGGATTGGTTAAAGTGCAGCGCATGCTACATATTGATGGTGTGCAGTGAGGGGTATGGAAGAGTCTGTGTGGGGTGTGTTAAGAGTTCATCAGCCTGATAGTCTGAGGGAAGTAACTTACTACTACGCGTCCAGCAGGTTGAAGGCCTTTGCGACTGCTGCTGGTGCTATTTCCATACCAGGTGGTGGTGATACCAGGTGGTGATAAAAGCCAGAAAGGATGCTCTCCACAGTGCAGGTGTAGAACGAGCAGAGGATGTGAGGGCTCATTCCAAACCTCCTGAGACGTCTGAGGAAGAAGAGGCGTTGTTGTGCCTTCCTCAGCACTGCGTCTGTGTGAGCAGTCCATGTCAAATCCTCAGCGATGTGTACTCCAAGAAACTTGAAAGTGCTGACTCTCTCCACTGGTGTGCCTTTGATGGTGATGGGGTGTGTTCTTTCATCTCTCTCCTGAAATCCACCACCTGCTTCTTGGTTTTGCTGATGTTAAGTGAGAGGTGGTTTTCCTCACACAACTGCGTCAGAGTGTGCACCTCCTCTCTGTAGGCCGTCTCATGATTATTGGTAATTCGGCTCATCACCGTTGTGTCATCAGGAAATTTAACGATGACGTTGGAGCTGTGTTTGGCTGTACAGTCATGTGTGTACAGGGAGTACAGGAGTGGGCTGAAAACACAGCCCTGTGGAGCACCAGTGTTGAGGATCAGTGTGGATGATGTAATATTGTTCATTCTGACCACCTTGACAGGAAGTCCAGGATCCAGTTGCACAGAGAGCTGTGTAGACCCAGATCCTGGAGCTTCACCACCAGCTTTGCAGGCATTATGGTGTAAAATGCTGAGCTGTAGTCCACAAATAGCATTCTCACATATGTGTTTTTGTTTTCCAGGTGAGACAGAGCTGTTTGCAAGGTGAAAGCAATTGCATCATCAGTGGAGTGGTTAATCCTGTATATGCAAATTGCAGAGGGTCAGTGTAAGCGGGCAGTACAGAGCAAATGTGCTTTTTAATCAGCTTCTTAAAGCACTTGCTGAAAATGGGTGTCAAAGCAACTGGACGCCAGTCATTAAAGCATGTATTTTTAGCTTGTCGTTCAGGCTTGTCCAAATGAGACTTTGCATAGTTTTAATGACTTTTCTTGTTGGAAGAATGCAGAAAAGGCTTCTTCTGCATCACCCTTCCACTGAGCTGTTCTTTGTGAAAAGTGTGTTGGACTGTGAAACGATGTACAGTGACATTATTAGCAGCAAGATGTTCCTGGTGATCTTTGGAGATGTCTAAGTCTGTTGTTTGTCTATGACCATTCTAACGATTCTTCGTCTTTACTTTTCAGATATTTTTCCTTGGTTTAGCACATCTTTTCTTCACAAGAACTGTCACTGTCGCCTTTTATTTTCTTACTGTATTTCTGACTGTGGCGATAGAAACTTTAAACCTTTGATAGCTTTTCGTATCCTTTTCGTAATCCATGTTTAAAATGCAATGTCACAGCTTTCTGAGGTGGTCAACAAAAAGCCTTGCATCAACCCTCAATTGTGAAGTCCACCAGGCCATAACCCTTTATTCCCAACATATTCTATGCATTCTCCTGGAAAGCTTTCTCATGTATTTATGTTGTTAGACTGCAGAAATAGACTTGCTTTCTTTTTTCTTTCTTTTATTTTATCATTTTGGTAACAAAGCTGTGCTGCTAAAAAGGGAATGAAAAGAAGGCAATAGCACACTGTTTGTGATGGCAGACTAAGTTTTCACCAGGTCACCTGCTTCTCCTGTTCAATGGCTGTGTATAAAATATACAGATTAAATTCACATCATTGTTGCAACTGTTTTTATTCAACTTTTACTTCTGCAAGAAGATTAATAATTATAGCCTAAGCTTTTATCAAAGGTGGTGACTTCAACCTGGTTTGGTTTGTTAGACATGGATTGTTGTCTGATTAAAGAACAAAAGAGAATGGATCAAAATGAATTTCTTTCCACCTTCTTGTCTTTGAAATAGGAAAATGAAGGAGGCACTGAACTTCATGAAATTATTGTTCATTCAGAGGTGATTTGTATCACATCATGCTGATGTCCCTGACAGCACACATAGCACTGAACAAAACCGCACCCTTTTGAATGGTGTCTCACAAATATAATTGGTTACAGTGGGTGTGATTTTGCCAAGTATATGATTAAAATCTATGTTGATCCTAAGATATAATTTTTTTCTGAAAAATGTAATCATACCTAATCCCGATCCCTAAACCCAACCCTAACTGCAAATTATTCCCAAAATCAGAGGAGAATTTTAGTTATAGTTATACAATTATATTGGACAACAATCATGTAGAAGTAGTGTACATAACCCTAACTGTAAGCCTAAACGTAACATAAACGGTAAATGTATCCCTTAATTCTGATTGTTATAGAATAAACACAGATGTTAATGCATGAACATGTCCTACTTGGTGAAATCCCACAAACTGATTATTTGGCCTAGCTAACATTAGCAGTTCCCACTATGAGATTACAAAAGAGACACAAATATGATAATGTTAATGTGGTAAAATTGTTGTTTTGTATACATGTTTTGCAACTGTAAAAATCATATTAAAAAATTTTATATTTTCAAAGATGGTTATATATTTATAGTGTACGTGTATGCTATAGCGCAAGCATGAAATAGAGGGTAATATGCTATCAAAGGATACGTCGGCTCTCCTGGAGAGCAGAACAAGGGTCGGTTATAATACCAAAATATGTATTCTTCGATTACTCTCTGAAGCTAGACCTCGCTCATATGTAAATTTATAATTAACTCACTGCTTTTTGGGATAAATTATCCATCACAAATGTAAAATTTATCAAAGAAACACCCTTTTTTGTTTAAAAAAAAAAAAGATTTTGATGTATATGTGAACTACCTAAAAAACTAATAATTATTGCTTGTAAAACTCTTTCTTGGTGTAAATCTTTTAAACTTGTATATTTTGCCTTGTCCCTTTTTTCATATTGTGTTTCTGAAAAAGTTATTTCTTGCATTAAAAAAAGGCTCAGGTATTCATAAATTCTTCCCAGTTAAACATTTTCTCAGTAAATTAAAATAAAATAAAATTAGTCATTACAAGATATAAACTCTTTATATTTAAAAAACTGTACCCCACATCGCAGTGTAGTTAGCCTATGTTAAAATGCTGTATTTCTATGTTCATAACAAAAGGTACTCTTTAATGTACATTTTTAAATTTTTGTATTTTATTTCCCATAATGTAAATAACAAAGTTTTTGTAATAAGTCTATATATTTTGTTTAATATTAACATGTGTAAATTTTCTAACAAACAACTTGTTTTATAGTATTTCATAAGGTGTTGAAAATGTATATTTGTACTATTCAACACCGTACTAACTGAAATTCAATTCTGGTTTATGAAGAAAGAAAAAAAGCAATTAAAACGATCCAGTTGTGTTGTTTTATTAATAAGGCCACTTGTAAGAATTTTATTTAATTATTCATTTGTTATTAATATTTGCCTGTTTTTATTCATGTACTGTTATTCACCTTCTATCAACCTAGCTTTATCCTGTTTTATTGTCATGTGGTTGTTTCAAGCATGAAAAAAAGATTGTGCGGGTTATATGAATGTTTGTACAAATTTGTCATTTAAATCACAGGAACTCAAAAAAGGAAAGGTATGAATATGAATATGAATTTGTTTAACACTATGTCAAATATCTACATTGTTTTTTTTCTTTGTTCTTTAAGTTTTTGTGTTACTTTTAACATGGTTTTAGCATCGTGCTAGACGCCATCTGGTGGACATTGTATCTGGATGTTTTTTTTTTTTTACATTTTTTTTTTTTACATTTTAACTTCAAATAACAAACAGGCATTTTCAGCTTCCATTGTTAAACATATATAACATTATATCCAAGCAGCATATAATAAACAAAACAGTACAAAAATAATAATATAAATCTATATTTATATTTAAATAAAACTTAAATAATAAAAAAAGAAAGTACATTACTTTCAGGGGGGTCAGTCCATATAAGTTGACAAAAGCTTAGAGAGCTTTAAGGCACCTTTTGTTTTTGCCTGTTTTATATATTTATATAAAATGTTGAAATCATTTTAAATGCTTTAAAACAAGGAGAATCTTCAACAAATCTACATTTGTATATATAAAAGTTTGCTAGAATCAACATATTATTACACAGAAATATTTTTTTTTTAGTTTTTCATAAAAATGTCAAATTTCATGCATAAACATGCACTCTATTTTATTAACTCAAGTGTTACATAAGCAGAGACTTAAAAAGGCAAAACGGGAAAAAAAAACTAGGGGAACTATGTTTTTCTGAGACTATTTGTTGTTTTATTTATGTTTTTTAACTAAAGTTAGGCTAAATAAATTATTTATAATTATAAATTATTATTATTTGATTTTACTTGCTTCTTTACACAGTATTTGTCATAATTTTGTAATAATGCCGAGGCGACTTTAAAATGCAGATGTAGAGTACTTTTAGTTTGGTAATGATCCGGAAGTATTCTTGAACACGTGCGTTTAGAGTGTGTTTTTTTCACGTGTGGATCCATGGTATTGATGCTTGAAAGATCAGTTGCAACGTCTTAGAAAATATGAAGTTTGCGTACAAGGTATTCATTTTTTTCTTATAAAAAGAGTCTCGTTTTCTTTAAACATTTATGTATATCAGGTTGCCTGCTGGGTAAATTTTTGATAAAGACTGTTGTAAAATAAATATACAAAGTTGTTTGTTTTATCTGTACGATAACATTTAATTTAAACTTATTTTAATTTCTTTTTAGTTTTCAAACTTATTAGGGGCATTTTATCGCCAAGGGAACATATCTTTCTCTAAAAATGGGGATTCTGTCATCAGTCCTGTAGGCAACCGCATCTCCGTCTTTGATCTGAAAAAGTAAGTATCACACGTTTCACTGCCCGACTAAGTTTATTGGGTCGTGAGCTCAAAGTACTGTTAAGTGAGTTACGTCTTACTGCTTTTAGTTGAGAAAATGTTTTATATTTCCCCAGTAACAAGTCAGAAACCTTACCGGTGTCCACCTCAAAGAACATTGCTTGTTTTGACATCTCTCCAGACGGAAATCTTGCTATACTAATAGATGAAGGTATGTGAAGGTACCCAGCCACCGGCATTTTAACAGTGATGCAACTAAATACCTGATTCAGTCAGGTCTATAGTTAGATCAACGTTGAATTGCCTTTCTGTTTTGCAATTGGTTCAGTGATTTGGTAATCACTGGCAGGCCCGGATTAAGAACTCCGGGGCCCCTGGGCACATTGTCTTGTAAGGCCCCCTACCTGGCCGCACCCCTATAGATGAATTAAAAAAATAAGAATAATATAATAATTTTTAAATAAAATGAACCTATAATTTGTTTCCCACATATTTAAATAAATGATATATAGTACATATGTATTTATAGTCTACAAAGATTTAACTTATTTTTCAAAGCATTGAATAAAAATACTAATAAAACTATATATATATATATATATATATATATATATATATATATATATATATATATATAATTTTTTTAATTTTTTTTAAGGGTATTTTAATGTATTGCTTTTACAAAATTATAAAGCATATTATTGCCATGGCATATAACACACAATGCTTCTCCAATCCAGTTCTATGAATCTGAGTCTTTCATAATACAAACACTGATTTACTGTCTCTCTCCTTCTCTCCCTGTATTTTCTCTACTCTTCTCGTGATGAAGACTTGATTATAAACCTAAAAGTATCCGAAATCACACACACTATACCTCTTCTCTCCCGTCTCTCTCCTCTTCTTGGCCTTTCTCTCTCTCTCTCCCTCTCTTTCTTTTTTTCTGACTGTCTCTCACACAATGAATCCAGTTTGCGCTGCGCTGCCGTTAGCCTCCTCCGCCTGGTTAATGCTAGCTTCTCATCATTTAAAGTTACCATAACGTCTTCTTCTATACCCTCATTCTCCTGATCATGGGTCTGTTTAAAGATGGTGTGTATGGAAAATGCCTCAATAAAGATGCCTCCTCTCTTCTTACTCTCGCGTTTGCTAAATCCACTTGTTCACTCATTTTTGATCTATGACAGATATAACGTTACACTAAAGTCCGCTCAGTTTAGTGCGGGTTAATACAAAACTGACGTTTCCGCGCTTGACCAATTACAGCATTATGTTCAGTTAACTAAAAAAAGGCAATTTAAATATAATAATAATATTAATATGTGATCGCGATTTTTTTGCTCAGAGGAAATACAGTTGTCTGAGCAATATAGTGTTTGCAGAGAGGGAGGCACCTATAATAAGGCTAAACATTATTAAATACCCACGAGACACTTGTGACTTTATATCACATTTCCATTATTTTTAAAAAATGTTTCCTTCCTGTTAAAAATAAAAAATGTTTCCTTCCTGTTAAAAATGGGGAGAAAAAAAAAGTAGCACGAGTTCAGCTGATGGTGGATTCGAACCGAGTTTATGATTAATCGCGTCAAAAGATTATGCTGGGCGCCATACAAGGTGCGCCACTGTGACTGTAATGATTGACAGCTCTTTACTGGTGTTGTCTCTATCAATCAGGCATCAATGGGCGTAAACTCTGAATAGCTTATTCCAACTAGATGCGCTATTTGCAATTAGCCAAAAAAGACACTCCGAAATTGTCTTTTTTTCCTCCCCCCTCGCAGGGGCCCCTAGTGCGCACGGACCCCTGGGCCTGTGCCCATAAGGCCCATTGGTTAATCCGGCCCTGATCACTGGTGATTCATCGACTCACGAAATAACGACGCTGCTACCTTAATCATGGTTGTATTATAGTTATTCTGTACAGGTTGAGTGGGAGTTGAATGACGTTTCAATTTTGCAAAGGGATGCACCGATATGGATTTTTTTGGCCGATATACGTAACATTAGATTTGGAGCCCAATAACCGATATATTAGCCGAAGAATAAATGTTTAAAAATAAAAATGTTATATTTTTAAACACAAAATAGTTTTTTTTTTTAAACTGATCTTAGAATGGCCTAAAGCAAAAAAAGCAATATTTACAACATTGCAGGGTGATTATATAGACATATTTTCACAATTATACATAAATCAGCATGCCAAAAAAAAACTAAAAAAACTTCCTTTTCTTTATAGCAAATTGACATACAGCTTGTCTGTTGCATTAAAATAATAGGTTAAATAACATAATGGGAGTTATTTTAAATAAAATAAAAATGAAAGAACTATTGAAACTAGCTCAAATGTTCTTAAATAAGAACAATTTATTCCCTGTTACAGTGTTCAGTTGTAAAGGTTGTTGCACACTGAATTCAAAATTATGAATTAAATTCGACCTCATGTTTTGTAAACCATATTTTACACACTGCCTCTGAAACATTCGTCCATTATTAAAAAAAAAAAAAATGTTATCTGGTTTATTTGTTTTGACAGTTCAGAGCCACTGCAGAAGTGAAAAGCTAAATACTAGTGATGGGAAGTTCGGATCATTTTACTGACTCTGATCTAGGGCTGGGCGATTTAGCAAAAAAAAATTAAAAATCTAGGTTTTTTATAAAGTTTGACCGATTCACGATTTAATTTTTTTTTTTGTGTGTGTGTTACTAGTCTTCTCAAAACATTACAACAACATGACTGAAGTAACACTCTCTTTAAAAGTAACTTAAAAAACCATCTGGTTAAGCAACATTGTATTTTTAATGGCGATGTCATACAAAAATCGGTCAAGGTGTAAATAAACAAATTCACGAGTTAAATAGCGTTGCTGAAGATTTGAATAAGAAATATTTGTGTAAATATTGTACTTGCAAGAATACAGAGGTATTTTTCCAAGTTTTGCTAAGCCTAGGAAAGATTGGCTGTCAGCTACTGCTTTGACTTTGTCTTTTGATTGAATAACAGGTTGTAATGCTGCTGCCTTTTCTTAAAAAGATATAGTGGAAGAAAAAGGACTGAACATGGAAACTGTAAAGCCTAATTTAACCCAATGTGTGAAGTTGTGGACGTATAGCAGGAGCAAATACAAGCACCAGATGTGTGTCTAATATAAATTAATATATTTAATATATTTTTCTTTTTCCCCCTTTAAATACCTATCATTTGATGTGCTTTGCAGCACTCTCTGTATTATGCTGGCGGATCTGTCTGGTTTTCAACTAGGTCCGCTAAATGACGTCATGGGGGCGGGTACTTTAATTTTCACTGCTACAGTCCCTCACCTCTACTCGTGTTCAAACCAAAAGATCGGCGCGTTTTTTTACATGGCAGGCTTTAACGTCCTTCAAACATGTTGAGATCGAGTTTATCGACTTGATGAGGGAATATGTCTTGACAATCCACACAGACGTTCAACAAGTAAAATCCTACATGACTTCACGCTTTAACAGGCAGTCAAGCAGGTCGCAAACCAGAAGCGCCGCGACACGGCGCGGACATGACAGTTTAAACTATCACACACCAAACGCGCACATTCGCATGATATTTAACATGATACTAATCAGATGCAGAGATGTATAAAGTACTAGAGACCCATACTTAAGTAAAAGTACAAGTGCTTTATCAAAAATTGACTTGAGTAGAAGTAGAAGTGCTCTTTAAGCACCATACTTAAGTGGAAGTACAAAAGTATTCAACATTTTTTGTACTTAAGTATTGCAAGTAGTTTATTTCAAAATTTACTACTCAAGTACTGAAAGTAAAAGTACAAGTATTGTGTAATGTACTTCAGAAAAAACAAAACAAAAAGCGCTCTGGGGTAAGTTCAAATGTATGGTCGGTGCTCTTTGGGTAAGGGATTCATCAAATCTGCAACAAGAATCAGTCCAAGGCACTCGAGTAAAGTGAAAAAATTAAAAAGCCTTTATTCACATGGCTAGTTTGCAACACAGGCATTAAGCCTCAGTTACCTCAGTTTGAAACAGTAGCCAAAAGGTACGTGAATTATAACAGCTCAAACTTTTCTGTAACCGTGCTGTGCGCTTTGTTTAACCCTTTGGGAGTTACGTGCTGACTGACAGGTGCGCGATGCGTGAGGCCAGGAAACACGACGAAGCTTTGAGTTAAGATGAACACAGTTTCTATATTTATACTTTATTTATATATAAAAGTATACGGCTCTGCATATAATCACTCTATCTTGCTGGAGTTTATAGCCGTTTCGCTTTACTTAAGGATGCATTAATGCCGCTCTGAAGGTCTAATCGCTGTTTTAAGTTATCCAGAGCTGTATGAATGTACAAATCTTGAATATCACAATAGTAATAAATATTACAATTGTAACAACACAGACAGCAACACTTTTGCAAAATCGATACCCAGCTGATTCAGTCATTTCATAAGAAGACCGTGCTTCTTCTCTTCTTTTTTCCTTGTCAACATAAAGGCAGTGAGGTGCGCCTTGTTTTCGACCCCTTGTTCAACTGCAAGGCACTTACGGGACGATAACGTATAACCCATGCCTACAGACACATTTGCCAAAGAAGCAAAATGGAAGAAGAATATTGCTGTTTAATACAGCTGTGTTGATGACAAACCAGCGCTGATGTTGACCTGGATCTGCATAATAAACACAACAAATAGGCTTTACTTTTTATTTTACAGCTTATAAAGCATGTATGCACATTAATGCAATATCATATTTAAACAACAAAACTGTTTAAAAAAAAAAAGTCAACATATGCGCGCGTTGTTGTCTTATCACGCAGCGCACGCACTTGAACCGCGAGAGAAAGAGGAAACCATATAGCAAGACATAATCTTTAAAATAATGATTTCTATTAAAAATGTAAAAAGGTTTTGTGATTTATAATAATAACAGCTGGGCATTAAATAAATGCATATTTTCCGTGGAGCGAGCAATTTAACGAAGTCAGCTATTTTTATTTGACGGAAAAAAAACATATGATTGGAAAAAAAAACAGCCTATGCCGGTTATGAAAAAGAATCAGTCAGTATTTTCATTTTGTAATATAAATTAATTATTTAAGTGAAAGTAATTTAGGGCAGTCCTATTTTTTTATTCATTTTATTTAGATTATTCTGCTCTTCTGTGCTACACTGCAGGTGCGTGAAGATGCTCTGTTGTTCTGTTAGTAATATGCTAGCATTTAAAAATAAATCAGTATTTTAAAATGCAATATTTAATGTGTCAGACGCAAAATAGACACGTCAATTTGTTTAATATAAAATTAATAGTAATCTGACCAGTTAACCGTTAATAACCGATTAATGAGTGGCAGTTGTCGGTTAGCAAAATTGACCTAAAATGAGCATCCCTAGTAGCCATTTAATTTACTTTTTCTATGTAAGAGAACTTGATTGAAAAATAATTTTTAACATGCTTGAACCATTTACACAATGGAGTTTAGTTCTGTTTGGTTTTTCAACAGTATTTTGTTACAAAGAAAACAGAAGTGATATAGCTTTGGCTATTTATTTATTTTATATATGGCTATTTATATTGTTAATAATTTGCATAGTTAATATTGTTCTTTGATGTTCAGTTTATAAAGATTTTTCAAATATATTTTCAAATGTTTTTCAAATATATACATATATATATATATATATATATATATATATATATATATATATATATATATATATATATACACACACACACACACACACACACACACACACACACACACACACACACACACACACACACATACACACACATACATATATATATATATATATATATATATAAATACACATATATACATACATGCATACAAACACAAAACAGTTCTGTCTAGTTGATCTTGATTTTTAAGCAAAAAAATTGTAATTCTCATTTTAACCAGAATCGTGCAACCCTACTTCCACCTGTTTAGTCATGTAGTGAACTTTTCAAATCTCAGGTACATGCAAATTTACAATAAAGGGGCATGCAACAAAAAGTTTCAAATAAATTAATGGAAATATTTAAATGAACTATTGCAATCCAGCTATTTTTTTTTTTTTTTTGTAATTTGACTATTTGATCCACATGTTTTAGATGGAGCGGCAATACTGGTTAGCTTGGTCACTCGGGCAGTACTTCACCATCATCACTTCCATAATCCTGTTCATAATGTTTCCTTTTCCCCTGATGGAAGGTTAGCTATCACACAGCACAAAATATCCTTGAAATATTATTATTGTTGGTATTACAGTTTTCTAGTTTTTTATTCTATTTTTCTTTTATTTTTCAAGGAAGTTTGTGGTAACAAAGGAGAATGTGGCTCTAATGTATCATGCACCGGGAAGAAACAAAGAATTTAATGCATTTGCATTAAACAAGACTTTTTATGGACCATTTGATGAAATGACTTGTATTGACTGGACAGACGATTCGAAGTAAGTAATAGATTTTTTTTTCTATTAGGTATGATTGCTTCATTCCTTTCAAAGTGCAGTTTTCAACTTTTTTTACGATAAAAGCTTGCTCTGGCAACAACATTGTCTACCTTCAATGCTCCGGCGGTGAGAGTATCAAAATTCGCTACATTAGCTGTGTTTCCACTATCGCGCCTAAAGCAAGCAAGCAAGCAAGCAAGCAAGCAAGCAAGCCAAGGCCAGTCGCATTTCCACTGTCACTTCCAGGGCTTTCTCGGGGCCAGGGGCCAGTGGCCGGCCTTTTTCGGCCCTCTGAATACCTTGGGCCTAAGAGGGCCAGCTGGGGCTTTGGGGCGGAGTGAAAGGAGAGGCGGACTTTGCCTGAGTCTGTTAAAGATGGCATGCCATCATTACACTAGTTTACCGATAGTACACGAGTACATGCGCCAAACAAATAGGTTAATAAAGGAAAGAAAATATATAGCTGGTCAGTGTAAGATATGCTATTTCATAAAACACGATCTAGGGGTCTTTTTGCTTATGATCACCCTTATATTTCCCTTTTAAATGTAAGGCTGTTGCATAAAATAATAAAGTTTTAATTTATAAGTGACTTTTTCTTTGCTGCTTCCTCTTTGATGTTTCAATTACAGGTAATAATCTTTACACAAAATTAAAGACAAAGCAGCCAGTAAAGGTTGTCGAGAGTTTTTGTCAAGTTGAAAAGGTGTGTTTGTGTGTGATACATGCACGTTAGATGCCTGTATGTGTGTGAGAGACCAGGCAAAAAAAAAAGCTTGCTTCACAGCTCTGTTGATGCTGCGAGCGGCTTCTTTCTTTATATATTTTGGAGATAATACTCAATTTGAATACAACAGAAAGACAAAAAACTTTACAAATTACATGTCCACTTTTGTAGGCTCAAAACAGTAGTGTCATATCTCGATAAAATAGCCTAAGCTATATTGAAATAATTTAAAGAATTACAAATATCGGATATAATAAAATCACATTAAATACATAAACCAATATAAAACAAACAAAAGCCATAACAATATAGGTATAAACAATGCATAAATTCAACCATTTTAAGACATATAATGTATAACTTTCATTTTACAAAGGCCTATCTAAAAAAAGATTTCAGATAATTTCTAAAAACAATAAACACCGAAGGAGGTTTAAAATATTATTCACAAAGTATTTGGATTCGATGATATTAATCAAATCATGCAAACAGCATTTTCGAGTGAATGAAAGCAGAAGCCTCTTTTTTTGTCATCCGGTCCTGCACAGCTCTGCTATACAAATGCATTGGGGAAAACTGCAAATACAAAATGTGTTTTATGTCCTCAAACAAGGACATTTATGTTTTATATATGACGTGGTAAAATGTAAAAATGAAATTTTAAATGTAGAGCTTTAGCTGCTGAGCGCAACGTAATATAAACTATATTTTATTACTTGCTCTTATATGTTAAATCCCTTAACACTTTACTTAAGATCACTGAATAATATGCAACATTCTTAAATAAAGGGGAATTACCTATTAAGTTTCATATAGCCTAGGGAAAAGTTAATGTTTTAGGTCTCTCTAGAGCATTTGGGCTGAATGTTTGACGACGTTCATCAAAACGAGGATGTTGTAAAATACATATCATACCGAGTTATTACTGGAGAATTTCTGTGGTTCAGTTTGTGGCGAGACCACTCGATGCACGATGACAACAGTCGTCGGCGATTAAATTAATAAAATAAATGAAAATACATAGGCCTGTACGTATAGACGTATAATGTGATGCTGTACAGTAACGTGTCATTTGTTTATTTCGGTTGTCTTAATTTTAATCGTTTTGTCATGATGCAATGGTGTGCTTTATCTGCCTGAATCCCACTGAAGTGAGCGGATTGTGTGATGTTTGATTCGGGGGACGTTCTTGGGGCGGGGTTTGCGCGGAAGCTACTAGCCCGACAGTGGAAACACGACATGGTTTCGGCCTCACTACTCAAGCCCTGGCTCGCACTAGCCCGACAGTGGAAATGCAGCTATTGATCTTGTATATAAATAAGCTGTTGCAGCATTTCAGCAAATCGCATAAAAACATGCTTTCTAGCCTGAAAATGTGGCTCACTTTTAATCAAATACATTTATCAATGAATGATCAAGTTGTTGCGTTTGGTTTTGGCTTTCACTTATCCAATATTTGTCTGTATGTCTGAAATTATTCTGAAGTTGTTATAGTTAGCATGAAATTCCTGTTTTTTTTTTTTTTTTAAGAAAAAAAAAATTACATTAATTAGGGGTGTCACGATTTCGATTTTAAATCGAAATCCATCAAAATTTATGCTCAATTTCGATTATTGAATCAAAAAAATAGAATTGTCAATGCTGCCACGCCCCCATGTCACGTCAGCTTGGCTTGCCAAGCGGGAAAAAAACAGGCTTGTTGAAGTGCTTGTTAAACTGCAGAAGCAGGAAACCCGTCGACAGAACTTAAACACTCTCCTCTTTCAATGAAGTCGCTGGTGTGTAAGCATTTTGGATTTCCTGTGAGTTATGTTGACAACGTTCGTGTTGTCGACAAAAAATACACAGTTTTGCAAGCTCTGCTATGTACGTATTACGTACGGTTCGTCCGATAGACAACACCGGCATTGCGATCCTCCGCCCGCCCCCGTTGCAAATCCGCTCGCAAAAAGTACACACTCAGGCCCTGTTTACACTGTCTTTGTTTTTAAATGGCATTTTAGAACGACAACAATTTGACATCCACAGTGGCGTGTAGCATTTCTGAGCAGCCCTCCTTCCTCTCTACCTCTTAAAATGCATATCACGTGACCTCACAGACACAGACGCACACACAGCCATATGAGCTCGAGACAGCAGGTCCAGGCAGTCAGAGGACTGCTTCAGTCTTTCACTCACTTGTACTTTGTCATTTTAGCGAACACCTCAGATACTGTTGGCTGGTTCCTGTTGGTTGTGCGTCTTTTTTACCTACGTCATTATAACAACACAGATCACTGCCTATTCATGAGTCCTGCAGAAAAAGTGATTGACAGGTGGTAATTATGTGTGTATCTTGCCTTTATTTATTTACTGTATGATTTGTTTATGGGTTAAACAAAGACCATGCAGGTCAGGTAGTTTAAACGGTAGGCTACAAATAATTAATCATTAATTAATTAATTATTAATAATCGAATCGTGCCTTTAGAATCGAAAATGTAATCGAATCGAGGATTTGGAGGATTTACAGTACAAAGTTTACAGTACTGTTTTCTCTGGAATCCTCTCAATCAGTGGACTTAAACTAACCAACTAACTTGCAGCTGGCTCCCAATTGACAATAAATGACTTCCGGCTACTTTGATGCTCTTGCCACTTTTGGTGTGAACACACAGTTAGAGCTTTAACTTTTTCCCACAGTGTCTTTAGCTTGTTTGAAAATTAACTATTTAATTATGTATTTTTACCATCATGCAACCAATTTCACTATTGCTTTCCTTCACTGAATAACAGGTGCTTTGCTGTTGGAAGTAAGGACATGACAACCTGGATCTTTGGGGCAGAAAGATGGGCAAATCTCATCTACTACTCACTTGGTGGTCATAAGGACATCATAGTGGGCTGTTTCTTTGAAAAAGACAGCTTGGATGTAAGTATGTAGAAAATGTCTGCTGCATTTGTGTAGCACATAAACAAGCCATTCAAAAACAACTTTCATCACTGTTTTATGTCAGTGTTTTTTTTAGCATTGTTGTATAGTAAATATTAAATTAATTTGGTTCTACTGTAGCTGCCATCATAAAAATTAATTAAATGAGTGCTGTGAAATGATGACTGTTCAGTTTGCTGAGGGGGCAAGGCGTCTACTTTGTGCTACCATATGACATCACTCCACATCATGTTGCTCAAATCGCTCCAAATTAACTAATTTGTGCTAATGTCTCAAATAATACATTTACAAAATATTTAAAAAAAATTTATATGTGCACAGCACAATTAAAATTTACAAAATTTAATTTGCAAGTTCAAAACTCAATTTGTAAATAGGTCAAAAATACACAAATCCAATTCATCAATTCAAATACGATTTATAAACACAAATCCAATCTGTAAATTTAAAACGTGATTAATAAATACACAAATACAGTTGGTAAATTTAAAACATGATTCATAAACACACATACAATTCAAATTCAAAACACGATTTAGAAATGCACAAATACAATTAATAAATTCAAAACAAGATTCATAAATACACAAATACAATTCATAAATTCAAAACACGATTCAAATACACAAATACAATTCATAAATACACATCCAATCCAAAAATTTAAAATATGATTCATAAATACACATTTAATTCTTTCTGCTAAATTTTTCATGTGAATTTACAAATTGGGTGTTATACTTAAGATATGCGTTTTGAATTTACAAATCGGATTTTGTAAATGTTAATTGTGCTGTGCATGTATGAATTTTATTTCTTAATAAGTGTACTATCTAATAAATGTAATTCTAATCTTATCTTAATCTTTATCTTAATAAATGTAATACTAATCTTAAATGTAATACTAATACTATCTTAGTGTACTATCTAATAAATGTAAATCTCACATGTATATCTGGCTCTATATAGTTTGAACAATGTGCAAGTTGAAAAATGTGCACAAAATTTAGTAGCAGCATTTTTAAGCAATAATATGCTAAGCACATGTGAATGCATAATCTGTGTATAATGCAGTCATGAAATTTTTACATTTGGTCTGCGAAGCGAAACATGAAAAATATATATGTAGTATACTACATTCTATAGTAACCAAAACCAAAAAAAAAAAAACCTGATATACTGTTTTCAAATCAAAATGGGAAAAAAAACCCAAAAAAAACTTAATTCAAATAATTAGTAAAACTATTTATTCTTTCGTTTGTTGAAAAAAATAGACTTTAGCTTTAATCAACTTTGCAGTTAAATTTTTCTACGTGTGGGCAGAAGAGACACTCATTTCTGCCGATTGGTTAACCAAATGGCCAGTAATTGTAACAAACATTTTTCTATATACAATTTTATATACCTATTATTTAATTTAAATAAATTGACTATTGAATAAAATTTGAAGAATAGAGAAGACCGTCGGCCTATTTCTTTATTAGAGGATTACTTTAACAATAATGTGCAAAATCTAAATTTGACAAAAAGAGTTATGGCAAAGCTTTTTAAATCCGAAATATTTCTGACATTATGCATTGTCATATATATTTGTAATCAATGCATCGAGAAAGTGAATGAATTCTTACCCCCTTAATAGTGATGTGTATCTCTTTGCTTCTTAATCCGGCTGCTGTTTACATATCATGTCTGTTCCTTATTTCAAATGTAAAAATGCAAGGCATATCAGCAGCATGCAAAACTTACACTGTACTATTTTCTATTTGGAATTTTCTATTAGCAGAGGTTGGACAATGAAACTGAAACACTTGGTTTTGAACCACAATATTTCATTAGTATGGTAAAGGGCCTCCTTTAGCGGCCAATACAGCATCAGTTTATCTTTAAAATGACAGATACATATCCTGCACAGTGGCCAGTAGGATTTTGAGCCATTCTTCCTGCAGAATAGTGGTCAGGATGTTATGTGATGCTGGTGGAGGATACACCTCCAAAACACCCCAAAGTGACATGTTTACTTTCATGTCATCAAATCAGTTTGTCACCAGTCTTGCTGTGTGTATTGGTGCATTCATCCTGATACACTGCACTGCCTTTAACATACAATGTTTAAAACACTGGGTGCAAATGGTACTTCAGAATGGTTCGGTAGTTCTTGGCAGAGACATGCTCATCTAGTGCAAGTATTGGCCCCAAGGAATGCCATAATATTGCACCTCAAACCATCACTTACCCACTCCCATAATTCACACTGGGTTTTTAATAGTCTGGGCTTCTCCACACTGTAACTCTCTTGGATGTGGGAAAGAGTAAGAAGGTTGACTCATCAGAGAAAAAAAAACATGTTTCACATTGTCCACAGCCCAAGATTTTCACTACTGTCACCAGCTGAAATAGAATTTTGGCATTGGTACGAGGGATCAAAGCTTTGGCTTAAAAAGCATAGCTATGTATATTGTGAAGCTCCTGACGAGCAGTCTTGGTGTAAACAATTGTGCACATTTTACTCTGCAGTGAGTTGGGCTGCTTTGCCTATCATTTGTTTTATGATTTTTGTATACAAACAACTTTGCGTTTCTCAAAACTATCGTTAGCCGACTAAGGTCACAAGTTCTGTCGTTACAAACATAGTTTGTTGATTTGCCATTTCCCAAATTCGTCGCTCTAAACATTTGCAAACTGCATCGCAAACTTGAGCACTCGCAACTACACTTCTGGAGCTGCAGTTAGAAACATAATTACTGGCTGAGTTTTGTTCCCACTTATCCCCCTTTGCATTGTTAATTTAGAACATTGTAACATTCAAAGTTAGAATTATTAAAAATAAAAAAGCATTAAGGTCATCTCTCTTATAAGTTTAATTTGCTTTTAAACTATTTTTACAGTTCAGTTTTAGAGATCTTCATGTTTATAATTGTGCTCCCTTCTCAATGCACTTTAAAACATTGATATAATTTTGAACACAGCCTCATGGCGAAAGTTATAGGTGACATTATTTTAAAACGGAATTTATCCCAAGCTTGTGAAAACAAAAAGCATATGTTTATTCTTTTAATTTATAGTGGGTCATTTATTAAGTATGTGTACTGGATATGACATGGGCCTGCTGGTTAGAACTTTCTGCAGTGGTTTACATGTCAAATTGTAAAAGTAGACTTTAAAAAAATAAATAAACAATATCCTACTTTAATAATAATAATAATAATCATCATTAATATTATTAATGTATGATTTTCATTTCTAATAAATATTAAATATTAAATTTCATTTAATAATAAATAGCCTTATTATTTATTTATATGATTTATATGATAAGAAGAATAAGTGTTAGCTTTTGTATATGATTTTATGTTTTAGAATAGAATATGTAATGTTCAACCTTCAATAATATTAGTAAAGCAAACATAGTCCCTATATGTGCCATTTACATATTTTCCAGTTAATAGGGAAAGCGAATGGATGTTTTTACCAAATCTAATATTGGATTTTATTTTAAATGCATGTTTTTTTTGTAAAACAACATAATTTTCACAAAGAAATAATGGGGTTCCTCTCTAAAGAAGTAGTTACTCCACCCCGTTTAGAGCAACATTGTGGGCGTTTAATGTTGTTTTAACGTGGTAACGTGCTTCAGGCGATGAATCTACGACAGAAAAACTACGCATTTTGGGAAACATTCGTCACTACATTGTTCTTTTTCCAAACGATGCATCGTACTATGATAGTTCAGCCACGAGTTACGTTGTTGTTTGGGGAAACAGCCCCCAGGTTAGCACACAAACATCCTTTTTCAGACAGATTCCTCTTGCATCCACAGTTACTCCTTTTGGATGTGGTTTGTCTATCTTGCTGGTATGCTGAACTGGTGGTATGCTGGCTCTTGATACATTACAAAGTCTTGCTGTCTTGGTCGCAGTTGCATCAGCGTGATGCGCACAAACAATTTGTCCTCTTTTGAACTCTGAATTGTCCCCCACGATGGTGTGTGCATTGCAACATCTTAAGCAAAACTTTGCTATTATTTTGTTAATTAAATCCTTACAACTCTGCTCTCACTGGTGGATTTTGTAATCAATGAAGCTTTGACTACTATGCTGGTCAAATTAATGCATGAAACCTCCACATTATGTTGGCCAGTGTTTCATTTTCATTGTCCAACCCCTACTTATATATTAGGGCAGGGCAATATTGCAAAAAATATATCACAATATCATGTTTCATATCATTTGATATTGATAATTATGAATATTTTAACAATATGTTTAGAAATATTAGGATTTTTACATTTTATTTAACCACTTTATTTAAATTTCTAAGCCAAATATTTTAATGGTCAAACTAAATATTAGTTGTAAACTAAAATGTCTTATCTTTATAATAAAATGAGCATAAGTGTTAAAGAGTCTCTTAAACTTGATAAATAAAATGTAACAAAGTGTAACATAGCAAAGCGTAACTACTGAGCAATCACAGTAAACTTTAAGGTGTGAATAATAATTATACAGTAAACCTCAAACCCTGTCAACACAAATGATGATAATTAAATCTGAGCTTTTCTAGTTAAGTAACCAGCCATCATTTTTCAAATACATACTGCAAAATTACAAATTGTGAAGTTGAATGACTACATTACCCCTATGCTAAAAAAATTCAAAAAAAGAATCCAAAATTTTGAATTTAGACTTGTGGAATTTGGACTGGTTGAATTATATGCCGTTTAGCCTCGTATTATTAAAATGTCAGCAAAATCACCTGTTTTGTCATCACTTTATACGTTACGCCAGAGAATCATTCAAATACTAACTCTAAAGTCATGTTGGTGAATTATTAACTGCTTCTGCTGTTCTGAAATCTGCTATATATATATATATATATAAAGGGTGGAGCCGAACCCGAATACGGTATTCGGAAAGGCACGAACGAATAGCGTGTTTTTACGGATACTTGATTCGAACAAATACTTAAAAAATTATTTGTAT